ATGGTGAATACACGATAGAGAGAGAGAGAGAGAGAGAGAGAGAGAGAGAGAGAGAGAGAGAGAGAGAGAGAGCAAAACAGTAAAAACGATGTATTGAAAGTAATGGGAGAGGATATACTTCTTACCGCTATTATAATACTTATACATTAACGACGCTTCAGCGTTATTCAGCTTTCCGCAAACGTCATGGCCCACACAAACCATGCACTGTCTATGGAGGACAAGGACGCTGGTAGCCACAGCTCTCTATCGGACTCACCAGCCTCTCATGACCACCAGGACAATTTTGCGAACCACAAAAGACCGCCCCGGTATTATTTTCCATGCTGCCAAAGCGTCCAGTCTTGTGTCTGTCACCTTGGCAACACAAGTGGGGGCGTTCATAACGGAAGTGCTGTGAAATTTGATGCGCACGATTCTGATGGCAAACACTCTCGCTCTCACCACCACCCTCATTTAGTGAGTGATGGTTCTCTGCTCCAAGTGAGTACACGTCCCGCGTCCTAGAATCAAGAGAAATTATTTTTTTCCTCTTGCTTTTCCTTTATGTTCGTCCCCCAATGGTAGGGGATGAGAATTTGAAATTGTTTGGCGTGCGAACAAGGTATGTGGGAAAAAGGGGGTGGGGGTGAGGGTGGATATTGTTGACCTCTAGGCCACGAGAGCTTCCACTCTGGAGTTAGGAAATCAGAAGTCTGTTGAACTTGTTGAACTTCAGTGTCCTTGTCATGAACCACCAAACTGAGATACCAGATAGCACCTCTCATCTTTCCATACTTCTACCTTAACTCAGGCGGATTGTTGGAGGGCGCATGTGGTAGATCCTACTTCTTTACTGTCCTTTTGTTGCTCCTGTCTGTCTGTCTGTCCGTCTGTCTGTCTGTCTGTCAGTCCCACTTTTCCTGTTACTAAATGACCATTGTTATGTCGATTTGTTCTTTACTCAAACAAACAAAAACAAACCTAACCCGTTGCTTTGATTGTCTATCTTATGCACAGTAGAATTGTAAATTGCCGATTTATCACTGTGATGCTCATACTGTGTGGAAACAACATAGGGGGAACTGCTTTTTCTTTCCTCATCCTTACTATCGTCATTTTTCCTCTACTTTTTTCATGTATGTTTGTCACTCTCTTGTGAACTGCTATTTCGTGGGTACCTTGATCATCGAAGCACACTTTGTGCTGTTGAGACGAGAGAGGTGAGCAGAGTAAGCCTGATTCCCCGTTTGTACTTCTCTGTTGACACCCATCCCTTGACGCTCATTTGACCTTGTGCAGTTCCGAGCGCCGTAAAACCTTACTTTAAAAAAACAAAAAAACATAGTAACCACACACGCTCTCTCTCTCTCTCTCTCTCTCTCTCTCTCTCTCTCTCTCTCTCTCTCTCTCTCTCTCTCTCTCTCACACACACACACACACACACACACACACACACACACACACACACACACACACACACTCACTCACTCACTTCTAATCTCCACACTTATAGTATTTTTACTATTTGTGTTGCAAGTGTGGTAAGCCGCTTACTAAAACTAAAGCTTGCTGAAGCAAAAAAGCAATACTATTGCTAATGAGCGTTATGTTTTTGCTGTTTATTCTCATTGGTAAAGGTGTGGTGTTTTATTTTACTTGTTTTAGCTGCTTTTGTCTGAAAGTGAACGTTCAACTCGTTTATAACCATTATATTCAGGTCTGTGAGTATCTTTATTCACGTTCTCTTTTTTTTTCATTTGTTTTTCTCTAGCAGTTGCTGATCCTGTTGCTATCGATTTTGTCTCTATTCAGGCTCGTTTTTAAAAATCATGATGCTAAATGATCGGTATTGCGTCGATACGCTTCTGTTTATTCTAACTAAAAGATAAAATTATCTTGGCGTGCAGTTTAGATTTCAAGCTGCCGAACGTTTCCAGATGGTCTCTTTGAATTCGTACTTCATTTATCTTACAGTACCTAGGAAGGAAAAAGAGGAGGAGGAGGAGAACAAGGAAGGGAAAGAGGATGCTGATGAATAAACTCACGTTACATTAGTACAACGTGTATAATGTCATGTTTTTTTGTTTTGTTTTAATCAACAAATAAGACACTCGAACATCATTGTACACAAAATATGAAGGTGCAGGTACTCTGGTGTGGTTTACTCCTTCCTTTCTATAAAAAAACTCCTATAATCCTTATTTCTCCCCTTCTTTTCTTTTTTTATTGCTCGCTGGTAGCACTTCTAATCTTTGGCAGTTATATTTTGATTTTACCAAGTTGCAAGTGTCGTAAAACATGTATTAAAATCAAACTACCTTCTTTCCTCTCTCCTTCCGGGGGCTCTCGTGGCCTAGAGGTTAAGGTGTTGGCCTCTCATTCAAAGGTCCCGGGTTCGATTCCGGGTAGCGACCAAAAAATGTTCTTCTCTAAAATTGTCTCCTTTCACATCCTTTCCTGATCTCTAACAATGTTCTGTTGTCTGCTTTCATTTCCACTTTCTGCCCCCACCCCCTCACCTCCTTTGCCCCCTCCTCTGGGCTCCTGACTCTTTCTGCAGCCTTTCTACTGCTACTCCATGGCTCCTTCTAACTGCTGTCTTTCTGCCACACCCCTGATCTCTGGAAGGAAAAATCTACACCTAGCCTTCTCGGACAAGGGCGAAAAATCTCGGAGGGCCCGTTTACAAGTTGCGCACGTTAAAGATCCCTTGGTGGTCTAAAATCGATAAGAGTAGGCTTCGGCCGCCACCCGGGCAAAATTCAAAATTTCCTACCAACGAAAAAGTATTAGGTGTGTCCCGCGCGCTCATATGACCTTATGCAGTTGCGAGCGCCGTAAAACCCTATACTAAACAAACAAACAATCTCTCCTTCCTTTTCCCTTCTCCTCAACTTTTAAGTCTTGGTGATGTGCTCTGTATTTGAATAAAAAGCCTTTTTTGTGTGTAGTAGTTGAGAGCCATACAAGACAGACATACTCACGTTATTTTGTATGTTCCTCTTCTTCCAGGTTCTCGCCGCTCAGACACTAAAGATCGCAAGCATAAACGGACTGGGGGAGTTAGACAAGCTCGAAAATGAACTGGAGGATGAGATCCGGTATGAGAACCGGTCCCCTTCCAAGACAGCCGTTGGCAGGTGAGCATTTGAAAGCAAAGTGTATTGGATTTTTCTCAGTTTTGCTTTTGGGTTTTCTTTTTGTATATTTGTTTGTTTGTTTTACGATTATTTCTTTATGTCTGGAAGCCATGTGTTGTTGTTGTTGTTGTTGTTGTTGTTGTTTTTGATTCAAGTTATGATGTTAAATTATTCATTTTGTCCCAGATACAGGTTTATTTACAATCGTTTGTTCTGGTCTTGTCATATTTTTGTTTAAAATTCAAGTTGCGATTTTGAATATATATTTTCATATATATAGATACTAGTTTGTTTATAGTATTGTTTACTAACCATTGTGTGTTTTTATTAAATTGTTTTTCGTCTTGAGTTTTAAGCAGTTGATCTAGTACCAATCTTGTTTTTTTAATTGCTATATTTTCTTCCTTCGAAAACCATATATTAATTTTACCCCAATACACTTCACTTTGTCAATGGTAGTTTCTTGAAATTGGTGTGGCCTAGGTCAAGTAGTCACTTTATAATGGCTTTAACTGAAACGGCTTGATTAGCAATAGCACTTGAATCTGAAAATCTTTATTCTTTGGAAAAAAGAAATTTCAACTCGGCATGAAGGAGTGTTGTTAAATATATTTAATTTATGAGGGGTATTCGTGTCCATATTTCTCTCCAGCCATTTTTATTTCTAAAAACAGCACCTGAACATGGATGGCTGGTGCCTCTATAAATAAATTATTGATGGTCAAGGTGTAGCAATTAGACGCTTCGCCGTCGTTGACAAAGGATATGAGTTCGATTCCCGTGTGGGGAGAATTGTATCGAGTATCTCCGTCATTCTGCCTGGACGCTCTATACCTCTAGGATCAGGTTGGCCCTGACAGGAATGTTTAAACCTTCTAAATTATCTAAATTGCATCGATGGAGGCGTAAACTGTTTACATTTACACTTGTTCTTTACGTCTTGTCGATAGTTTTGTGGTCTGAGCGCAATGTCCTAGTTTTAATGACGGATTGTAGAATATGGACTATATCTAGCCTAAAAGCAGCGTTTGATTCTTTTATAACGTATTAGGGAAATGAAGCGAGAACTTAGGAAGACGTCAATCGTAGTCACATTTTAAGTCTTTCATTCTCCGTCCATGCCAAACTGCCAGGGTGGCGTCGGTGGCCAAGTGGTTAGGCTACCGGACCCGTAATCGTGAGATTGGGTGTTCGAGGGTTCGACGTTGCGTCCCTGGGAAAGACATTTTACACGAATTTCCCGTTTGGCTAAGTCATTTCGGACATGGGCATTAAACTTGGAGGTCAAGTGTCTTAAGTAACCTAATGGGGGCTCTCGTGGCCTAGAGGTTAAGGTGTTGGCCTCTCATTCAAAGGTCCCGGGTTCGAATCTGGGTAGCGACCGAAAAATTTTCTTCTCTAAATGTGTCTCCTTTCACCTTATTTTCTGCTTTCTAGCAATGTTATGTCGTCTGCTTTCGTCTCCACTTTCTGCCCCCACCCCCTCACCTCCTTTGCCCCTTCCTCTGGGCTCCTGATTCTTTCTGCAGCCTTTCTACTGCTGCTCCTTCGCTTCTTCTTACTGCTGTCTTTCAGCCACACCCCTGATCTTCTGGTAGGAAAGATCTACTCCTAGCCTTCTCGGACAAGGGCGAAAAATCTCGAAGGGCCCGTGTGCAAGTTTCGCACGTTAAAGATCCCTTGGTGGTCTAAAATCGATAAGAGTAGGCTTCGGCCGCCACCCGGGCAAAATTAAAAATTTCCTACCAACTGAAAATATTAGGTGTGTCCCGCGCGCTCATATGAGCGTATGCAGTTGCGATCGCCGTAAAACACTTTACAAAAACAAACAAAACAAACAAGTAACCTAATAGTAACAGTGTTCATAGGGCTGTTAAACCTATACGTAAGCGGTTGGCGGGTGCCCTGGTGTGTTTTGCTCCTTCTTTCCTATCAAACGTCTATCGTCCTTATCTTCCCTCCTCCTTTTTTTTGTTTGTTTGTTACTCTCTTGTAACTCACCTGACTTCGGCACTTATATGACCGTATTGTGTTGCAAGCGCCGTTAAACTCTTATTGAAACTAAACTAAACCTACGCCATTTCACCATTTTAAACTGCCAGGTTAGTGACTACACGTAGAGTGCTAAATACTAACCTTCTTTATTTCTGCTGCAGACTTCGTCGCCAAGGGCAGCATCAACTTCACAGCAAAGTCGTCCTCCTCATCGTCGTTGTGCTCAACGTCATCGACTGCCTGCTCGTCATGGCAGAGCTCACACTGGACTTCCATCACGTCTCCCGTGAGTAGAGTTTTAGAAGCTGTTTCTTTCTTCTTGTTCTTGTTTCTGTTCTTTTTCGTGTGCTTTTCGTGTTCTTGT